TTAATTCTGAAAACAAGACTATATATTTTTCTTGTCTAGAAAATGCTTCTTGATTTAGGACTTTTAAGATATTTGGACTAGAAACAAGACAAAAAATTTAAGTTAGAAAAGCATTTTTTGCAGTGTAGGCATTAGAAATTAGAATCCTGTGGTTTCTAATGCTGCCGTTTGATGTTCTTCTCCACCTGCAGAAAATGCTGGACTACCTGAAGGACAAGCGTGATGTGGGCTTCTTCCAGAGTCTGGCGGGTCTGATGCAGTCATGCAGGTACATCAGCTCAAGATTATGCTGTGAGTGATGATGATGATGATGAACGATGATGATGATGATGATGTTGAGAACAGTGATGGTGGTGAATGTGATGATGAGGACGATGTGATGATGATGATGATGATAAAAAAGGGCGATGATGAGGGTTGTGATAAATGTGATGATAAATGGTTATGATGATTGTGAGGATGATGATGATGATGATGATTATAAAGATTGGAGAGGATTATGATGATAATGATAATGATGATGATGAAGATTATGGATGATGATGAAGGTGACAAAGATGATGGTGATGATGAAGAAGGGGGATGATTATGGTGATGAGGAAGATAAGTGTGATGATGATGATGATGATGATAAAGATTGGTGGGGGTTATGATGATAATGGTGATGAAGATTATGGATGACAATGATGAAGGTGACGAAGATGATGCTGATGATGAAGAAATGGGATGATTATGGTGATGAGGAAGATAAGTGTGATGATGATGATGATGAGAAAGATTGGTGGGGGTTATGATGATAATGTTGATGAAGATTATGGATTACAATGATGAAGGTGACGAAGATGATGCTGATGATGAAGAAAGGGGATGATTATGGTGATGAGGAAGATAAGTGTGATGATGATGATGATGATGATGATGAAGAAAGGGGATGATTATGGTGATGAGGAAGATAAGTGTGATAATGATGCTGATGATGAAGAAAGGGGATGATTATGGTGATGAGGAAGATAAGTGTGATGATGATGATGATGATGATGAAGAAAGGGGATGATTATGGTGATGAGGAAGATAAGTGTGATGATGATGATGATGATGAAGAAAGGGGATGATTATGGTGATGAGGAAGATAAGTGTGATGATGATGATGATGATGAAGAAAGGGGATGATTATGGTGATGAGGAAGATAAGTGTGATGATGATGATGATGATGAAGAAAGGGGATGATTATGGTGATGAGGAAGATAAGTGTGATGATGATGATGATGATGATGAAGAAAGGGGATGATTATGGTGATGAGGAAGATAAGTGTGATGATGATGATGATGATGAAGAAAGGGGATGATTATGGTGATGAGGAAGATAAGTGTGATGATGATGATGATGATGAAGAAAGGGGATGATTTTGGTGATGAGGAAGATAAGTGTGATGATGATGATGAATGGTTATGATGTTGAAGATGATGATGAGAAAAAATGATGATGATGATGATGATGAGGTAATTGTGATGATGGTAATTATGATGATGATCAAGAATGTTGATGA